ATGAAATTGGAGGTAGTTTGAGGATTAAAATTTTATGCTTTTTAAGCTCAACAAGGGGGGATCGTATTATACATGAATAAATACTGTAATTGTGTTCTTGGTGTTCTGTCATCTCCGTGTAAATTAAAAGCAATTTTCGTAGCTTGAATGTAATTTTTGAGTGAGGATCTGTTTTTATTTTATTTATTTTTTGTTGGCTTGTTTATTTTCCTTTTGTGTTTAATTATTGGGATTGTTTGTGTTATTTGATTCTTGTGTCAATCCTGTCACCAGTTTTTTTCTCGAAACACAGTTTGTTTTTTTTTGTTTTTTTTTTTTTTTGCTTTTTGAGAAATTGTCCTCTGGAAATTGGGGGGTATAGATTTGAAAACATACCTGAAGACTCCTTCGTCTGTTCCCAAATTTGTTTTTCCTCAGGTGTTAAAAGTTAGCGGTGACGGCAGAGACGGAGTCCTGCTGAAACTGGGAGAGGCTTTCACACCTGGAAGTGACGTCAACCACTTCTGCCAACCTACTGATGTTGCTGTTGACACCGAAACCGGGAACATCTTTGTGTCTGATGGCTACTGCAATGCAAGAATATTGAAGTTTTCTGCTAATGGCAGATATCTGTCTCAGTGGGGTGCAGGTATCTAACACAATTTACATACCAACAAACCAATAATGTCTTAAAAAGCCTCAGTTTAATGTATTTCAACAGACGTTTGACCCTGTCAAATTACAGGTTTTAAATCAGGCATGAATTGGACATTTTGACGTAGTCTTCTGCATAAAACGTATAAATAATTAATGTCTGTAACATTTACAGACTGTAAACATTTACTATCTTCTGAATTTAATGGTATTTGGTAAATACTGAAATTTTAACAATGCCTGAGCTTTTTGAAGAAGAAAAGAAAGACAGAAGGAAAGAAAACAGTATCAGTAAACATATTACTATTGTTAACAAGACCAAACTGGCAGAATTAATTTATGTTGCTTTGTTTTCCTGAATAAAGGCTCATCAGACAGACGTACACCATTTCAGATCCCCCACAGCCTGGTGTTCTTTCCTGACAAAAAGGAAGTTTGTGTGGCCGACAGGGAGAATGGACGCATCCAGTGCTTCTTAGCTGAAACTGGGGAGTTTGTTAAGGAAATAAAAAAAGACGAGTTTGGAGGAAAGGTGTTTGCCATTGCCTCCACTCCTGCTGACGGTGAGTTTGTCCAGTTTCAGACATCCCAGCTCCCTTCTTCTCTACAATACACTTAGGTCAGTGTATGCACAACCTTTTCGTAATACAGTTCTACAGATAGCTTGATCCGTACCAGAGGGTTAAATTAATTAATATTGGTGTTGTAGCTTTTATTATAGTTTTGATATTGTCTAAATATAAATGCTACACATGTACTTAAAAACATCTGTTTCTGTGTGTCCTCTGCTGTGCGTACACAGATGATTTGATTTACGCAGTAAACGGGGAATCACTGTATCGCTCAACTCCACTCAAAGGTTTTGTGATCAGTTATTCAAGCAAAAGAATTTTGGATACCTTCAGCCCAAACAAGAAGGTAAACAACACTTCAATTAACACTGTTCTACCTTCAAACTTACATAAAAACAGCTCTAAATGCTGCTTGCCTGAGCATGAACTCACTGAGAATTGAACTTAGATTCACCTAAGCAGAATCCTAAAACAAGTTTTAGGATTAAACACTGAATATTTTGTTGGCAGACCAAAGCACTGGTGTAGGATTTGTGCCATCAACAGATTAAAAAGCAAACTCTATCTTTATTATGAATTAATATTTAAATAACTTCAAAAGTTATAAATTTATTCTACACGGTGAGTCATAAGTCACAGGGCACCCTTTTATTTCAGAAAGAAAAGAGAAAAATGATTTATTTAAATACCCCAGCAAGTAATGGTGAGGGGTATGTCCGGAACAAGGCCGGCTTCATACGTATACATATATATATACATTTCTCAAAAAAAAAAGTTTTGTCAATTTAAATTTAACTGAATGTTAAATGTTTTGGGGGGTTTTTTCTTCATTTTTTCATTTGACCTTTATTTATACAGGTAGTCTAATTGAGACCTAGAATCTCATTTCCAAGAGAGACCTGAGAGACAAGAATTACAA